AACAGTTGACAAACACCGACCGACACTGTTGCACTGTTAATTTTTAAACTCTATTGTAATTTCTGTTAAGAAATATGAGTTTGTCCACATTGTCGGGCTTAAGATTTGCACGTTTGTCGGTTATCGTATTACACTCGCGCTGAAAAATTCTTCGCGAGTCGCCAGGTATTTCCTAACAAAGGGGGCCAATTTGGGATGGAATTGGTGGTTTTGTTTCCACCAAATTAAGCTTGTGGTTTTCCCCTGTGGCGGATCATGCGACGTATAATGCTCCAGCTCGCTTTTGACGATGTCACTTGGACTCCTATGCCACTCCTCAACTTTGACGACGGTGACATCAGAAAACCACTCATCGAGAAAGTTTTCAGCTTCAAGTTTAATTTTCTTGCATGGGGTTGAAACTTCTAGTTTCTCAGGTTCCGGGTCACGGATGTCCGCAGGCACGGGTTTAGTCGTGTCCGATGGCAAGTTTGGCAAAACTGGGGAGTCAGGTGTGGTAGCTACGACCTCTTCGACGATGTATTCTCGTGCTTCCTCCTTCTCTGTTTGACTGATGACAGGTAAACTCTGAAGAATACCTAGGGTCCAGTATGGAAGACACGATGAGGCAGCGCCTGATTGTTGGATCCATGTAGCGTTCTTGAAGATTGGTCAACATGGATTTCTTCGCGTTTTTCACATGAATTTCTTCTCGTGTTGTCGCCGTCGCTGCTCTCAAGATTCATTTCCAGTTTCTTCAATATTGGCAGTATCATAGAGACTGACTGATTCTGCTGATCACATATTATAACAGTGGCAGTCTTCTTTGGGCCTAAAACCTTAATTAGGTCTTCAGACCCGTGAAGGTCCGGGTTAGAATTGATCTTCAGCAACCCATGCTTGTCGTAAGAGGCGACTAACGAGATAGGGTGGTCAGGCTCGCTGACTGGGTCGACACATGTCATCGTATACCAGCGTAGATCGCTGTTCATGTTGTTGATCCCTGGATTGTCTGGTCCAGACTCGATTATTTACAGACCGACGCCATATAGCTGAATGCGGCGTAAAACTAAACTCACTCACTCACTCACTAATTAGGTCTTCAACATCTTTTTGTTCTGACGCTGATAGCAGATAGGTACGCGCGTCCTTTTTGATCAAAGGATCTGTGAAAGACGCGTGTATTGCCACCGTTTGCTCTGCGAGTCGGACCATCACGTCAAAGGTAGAGTTCCACCTTGTGTCCACGTCTTCAAACAATTTGTGGTCAGGTAAGTCGAGCATTTTTCTCTTTTGTGTAAGAATGTTTGTTGCTGATGGACTTCTTTTGTAAAAGCCCACAAGTTGACGACATTTGGCCAGGTGTGTGTGTGTGTGTGTGTGTGTGTGTGTGTGTGTGTGTGTGTCTGTGTGTGTGTGTGTGTGTGTCTGTGTGTGTGTCTGTGTGTGTGTGTGTGTGTGTAAACATGGGAGGGACATGCCTGCTTTCACGGACATGCCTGCTATCACGGATCAGTTACTTCTTAAAGTACCCAAATCCCGCCTCAAAAAGTATGGACAGAGATCTTTTGCTTACATGGCCCCAAACGATCTTCCCTTGGGAATAAAGAAATCCCCATCATTGACAATCTTTAAAGGCTGCATAAAGGCTCATCTCTTCCACAAGTTCTATAAAGATTGATATACCAGTGAAAATATAGCTGCAGTGTATTTTAATGTTGTGTAGCGCCATGAGCAGACACCAAGTGCCTGGAGTTTGGGCGCATAACAAATCTACTGTATTATTATTATTATTCCTAGATTAATCCCTGGCTTCTAAACCTGTCAGTTTCCTATCATGCCTTAAAATCTCAAGGCAAGAGCAGTGTGCGAATAGTTTCCAAATTTTGCTAGCCAGTCGGGCTCTCAATGCAGGGGAGTGGCTATTAAATTTTGTCCACTATCCCTTACCAATAAGCGCCAAGTTACTACTGACTTCCTTTGTTGTTACAGTAGCACTGTTGTTTCACATGTACTCCTATAGCTATCTGTTTCCTAGGTTTTTTCATTCACCTGATGACCGCCTCCGTGGTGTAGTGGTTAGAGCGTCCGCCCGGAGCGCGGAAGGTACGGAAGGTCGCGGGTTCGATCAACAAGGACTGGTCGGCTCGGAGTCAGTATAATGTGTCTGAGTGGGGTATTCATGCTTCACTGCGGCATGGTATCTCAGTGGGCTAGCACTATAAAACCAGCTTAAGTCTGTGCTAGTACAAGCAGCCGCACATACACATACACACGCATGCACGTCGTCATATGAGCGAAATATTCTCAAGCACGACGTTAAACCCAATTTCACCTCACCTCACCTCATTCAACTGATGAAGGAATAAGAATATACTCCGGAACGGCGTACGCGTGTTCCTCAAAATAAGAAGTTGACATCCATATGCGTTCTGCCCTTTAAATGTATATCATGTTTATTTGATGGTCTTCGCATATATATGTGCTTTAACTGATTGTAAACATGCTCTAATATTTGATTGTAAACATTTCTATTGTTGATGGATTACATATAAATGACAATATTGCTGACTAAACAACTCGTCGTATATTTACCCAGGTCTTGTGTTGTGTGGGTTGGAGGTCTAGTCAAACAGTGGTGAGTGAGTTTAGTATTACGCTGCACTCAGCAATATTCCAGCTATATTGCAGCGGTCTGTAAATAATCGAATCTGGACCAGACAATCCAGTGATCAACAACCTGAGCATCGATCTACGCAATTGGGATACGATGGCATGTGTCAACCAAGTCAGCAAACCTGAGCACCTCATCCCGTTAGTCGCCTCATACGACAAGCATGGGTTACTGAAGATCACTTTTAACCAGGACCTTCACGGGTACAGATTGAATAGTTTAGGTAAAAGCTCATGTGGTATTGTCTCCTGTAGGCTAGAGCTGTACTCCTGTATATAGACCATAGCACGCGTGTCATATATTTGAGTGTTTGAGTTGAATGAGTTTAGTTTTCCTACAGCTGTTAGCAATATTCCAACAATACCACAGCACGGGACACCAGAATTGACTTCACACGTTGCACTGACTGAGTTTGGTTTCACGCCGCTTTTAGCAATATTCCAGCAACATCACGGCGGGGGACACCAGAAATGGGCTTCACACAATGTAACCCGGGTCTTTGGCGTGACGAGCGAACAATTTAACCACTAGGCTACCCCACCGCCCCTCACACGCTGTACCCAAGTGGGGAATCGTCTTCGGTGTGACGAGCGAACACTTTAATCAGGCTACCCCACCGCCCCTTGTGTTTGGATGCGGGAACGGGGATACGCCAACCCTTTAAACCTTTCATATTTTAAACTTGCAGTTAACAACATTTGCTGCATCTGAGCGTTTATAGGGTTAACATCTGCCTTTTAGCTGCAACATTGATTTTACTGTTACATCATGTATGTTTATTAGCATCTGTCTAATCCATTATTGACGCGTGAATCAATGGCATTACAAAAGAGCTTTTACGGCTTATTGCATGGATCGTTGCTGTATGTAATTGATCCTGCATTCCGTAACTGGCGTTTTAAAAACAGAATAATAGTAAAAGGAAAAGGCAATTGAAATGTTTCGGTTAAATACTTAGATGAACCCCCGTTTGATACTGCCAATATTTTATGGATGAGTTGTCTATACGCTATCTTTACTGTTGATTGTCTTCAGTTTCACGTGATATTAGCAAACTTAGGAAAAGGATTATGGCTTCTGTGTTTACATTTTTTGGAAGTGTTGTCATTTAGCAGCTCTTCGCGATTATTCAAATGACCATTCATCTTCACAATGCACATTTGATGGGGGTTATAACGAGTGGTAGTTACCTCCCTTAGACCGTTAGCCCAGAGCGATAAATTAGCTGGATTAGTTGAGTCGAAGAGGTGATTTTACAGATTGTCCAGACAGGGACTGGCAATTTTACATTTAATAAGGGGCGTGTGGGGATTAGGGTGGGGATACAGAAATACTCCCGTATAACATTATTCCTATGACAGAATTATATATAGTTATTATTTATACTGATCTTACGTGTATTTTATACTCATTAAAGCCATGCATCCCTTCCCTCAAACTAAACCGACTCTGGACATATATATGGTTGAACAGTAGGTCTTATCGTCAAAAGTTCATAAATAAAATGCCTCGTGTTGCTATGAATGTTCTTTTACCACTGCAATAACACAGATTACACACTGTAAAAATAATCAGATTTAACCCTTCATGCACAATTCACTAAGTACATTAGTAGGAAATAGTCGCCCTCTGTTTATAAAGACGATTACACGGCTCAAGTTTTCCATACGCAGTTATTATCGACATAATAACAATATCCGCCTCACAAAAACAAAGACATGTAGGCACATGCTTAAGCCATGCCACGAGACGATTAGCACGACTTTGAAGTCATGTTGAATTGTCATGGGTGTCTTGGAAATGAGAAAGCTGAATTTGCGAAACCTGCGTTAGACTTGGATGAGTCAGGATGACACAATATCACCATCTCCTGCAGAGTTAAACATCGTCAGTAATTTCCATGCGGACTCGAAATGGCAACAGGTAAGGGTCTTTATAAATGCATATCTCAACATTCTTTAATTAAAGATTGTTTCAAATTGTACAGATTGCAATCAGCTTGACAATGTTGCTTATTATATACTGTATTGCCAAAAATATGTAAATCGATATCAGGTGAAGGTTGAGACTCCTTAAGTTCCTAATATTATATTATTGACCTCTCTTGATTGCGTGCAACAGTACATTGTATATGTTTTCGGAATATGGTTCGTTATTGAGTATACATTATTGGTTATGTTAAACTGCAAGGGCTTTTTTACTTTATAACATATCTATGAATTTACTCAAATGAATTATCCAAATGAATTATCCAAGTGAAAAGTACACCTTGTTAAAATGCGCACCTGCTAAATCCGAATTCGGTTCCGAAAACAGTACGCTTTTCTTACAAACCGGGTTAGGCCGATTTGTTTACAGTTTTCGCCAGTGTCAACAGATTTCTAAACCAAGTCATCTTATCGTGTAGGCGGACGGGGCTTAAGCTAGTTATGGCGTTCAGGTACAACACTTCGTGAAATACTGTTTGCTGGTGGTGTTTGTGGGACAATACTCGTGCCAATGACTGGAGAGGGCGAGGTACAGCAGTCGGGCCAGGAGGTGGACGGGGTGAAAACATCGCCGGTTGGTAAATCCGACGTCCACAGCGACACTGCACCGAGTCGGGTATGTCCAACGTGATCGATCAAACATCACATCAGTGTGACGTCCGCCATGTCATTGGTTTACCATGTAGATAGATATCTGAATAGTTGTGTGGTCTGTCTATGTTAACATGTGGGTGTTTACAGGTCAGTGAACACGATCTCAAGAAGAATTCCAGTTGTGTACATCCTCCTCGTTTTGAGCTGTTGGGTTCTGTACGTAGAACTCTAGATCTATGTTTAGCTGAGAGACCCGATAGATCTACTGCATCAACAAGTTTTGGATAATGACAAGTAGTGTATGTTATAACAAATATTCATACTCAGCCTTTCCCACTGGGTTTATGAGTAATAGTTTACCCTATTTTTAGTTGATAATTCAATTTCAGGAAAATTATGGTGAAGTTTGAATATATATTTTAAACCAGATCTATACCACGGAATATGTTTCTTTATATCAAACATTTCTGTAACCATGATTTAATTTTATTTACAGTTTTCACATGCACTAATAACCAAAATATGTCAAACTTTAATCAAATTAGCTTTGGACTTACATCGGCTTTGATTTCATTGCTCTGCATTTTCTCATGAATATTTGAAATATCATCATGTCAAGATTTGGTCATGGATGGCTTAGTAGTCTAAAATGCTGTGATTGGCTGTACAGAATTCCATAATCGGGCAGCCTAGAAGTAGAAATCTCTGGGTTTGAATCCCGGTTTGACTTGATTATGTTTCAACTTTTGTCAGCATCATACAGTGCTTGTGGGTATTATCCAATTTGTAATCATCTAAGACCAACCATACCTTGGACTTTACCCAAAGAAAGCTGACATGCTGTGATGAAATTTGAATTAAACCCAAATCAATGTGTACTGGCTAGCGAACAGTTATTGCCACGTAACAGTTATCGCCAATTCATCAGTATCACGTGTGCACACGCATTTCCTGACAATTACATTTCTGATATATTTTCCACACGGTATTTGACAACAAGAAAGGAAAGTAAAAGAAAATTCTTCATGGTAAGTAACATAAGAGAAAAATTAAAGATGAAGTTATGAACCCTATAAATTTTTTTTAACTTAGTCAGAGACCATATACCGAGTTAGTCGGGGAGATGTCCGATGACCTATATGATAGCAAGTTCAAGTTCACAAGTCAGTAATTGTTTCATTCCCTATCAATCTACTGTAAAAGAAACACTCAAATAGTCCAACAATCAGTTATTCGAGGTTACTGTATGATATAAATTTATGTATTATTTCACGAATGAAATGAAAATTTCTGAATGGCGATAACTGTTACAGTTAGTTGTGAGAAAACATCTCTTTATACTGCCATGATTCCTTTCTGCCGCGTAATATAAAAACATGATCGGCGGCAGTAAACGGGCTGGACACATCGGTGAATAGCTAATTAAGTATCATAATTGATTCTGTTTCATTAATTTAACGAATGACGGAGTACTTTGTAAATACCGCTAAAATATGGCATAACTGTTCCGTAGCCACTATACACTTTAGTCAGAAAGTTTACCAGTGTTTGCCCTAGACATAAAAATTTAGGAGTCATCATGACTCCCTGGTATCATGAGAGGGAGTCATGGACATGTTTTTGAGAATTAACTTCAGTTTGGAACTTTCATCAACACATCAACTGTGATTGTTTAATAATGACAGAAAACAAGGTGAGGCAGGTCAGGTATTTAATCAGCACTGAGCAGTTAACTGGCAAGCATTAAACTAAGCAGTTTTAAACAACAGCAAATTACAGTATGTACTCAAACTTAACCTAAAGTACATTAAGTTTAGATTATCTGAACTAAGTGCCAAGTAGCATTGCATCAACAATGACGCAAGCTTCTAAATTCACTGCATATTTGAGATAATTTGTGCGTCAAATACGCCGGTTTTCTGCATCATGGCAAACACTGTTTATATAAACATTATTATCACTGGGTAATATTGACAGATATTTACTGAATGCATGGTATATACTCATTACTCCCTTATGTTAATGTAGTAAGGTAATTGCATTAAAATATGTTTATAGTGCACATGCTTGTGATGAACACACTTACAACAATTGACGGATATAACAAACTCTCTTTATAAGTTCCTGACACATGCTGTATGTTCCAGTCAATATGCCCATAACGAACAATTGTTGTAAGGAACTAAAATAATTGTCCCTTTGAGCATGTTGAGTGTATTATAACGGTAGTTTAATGTACACAAACACAATACATAGATGGATTTCACTTACACAAACACCATTCGTTAACACACAACCATTTCCTCTGTCTCCTTCAGACAGTTATTGTCCTTTGTGTCACAGTGTTTATTTTTATTTCCATGTAATAATAACAAGTGCATCACTAGGTGAATGCTTATAGTCATAGCGCTGACAGTCAAAGTGTTAATGTTTTTAAAAGTCATATGTAATTATATTAAGCGTTTTCCAGCAACCAGGATGTGTTGTAGCTTCAGTGTTGTAAACAAAGCCAGTGGCTATCACCCTTCAACCAGGAACTGAATAACCCCCATTTGTCTGTACTTTATCAATGTCCACACAACTGTAGGGGGGTAGGTATTATGAGTCAACTTTGTTGAATTATACTGTGTATTAAAGCTTAATTTAAGCAATGATATTTGGAGGTATAGTTTGTGACTCAGTGAAATTATGTAGTGACTCACAATTTATATCAGTAGTATGTAAATTCTGTTCTGATGTGGGGAGGGTTAGCCTGGTGGTTAAAGCGTTTGCTCGTCCGGCTAAAGACACAGGTTTGATTCCCTACATTGGTACAATGTGTGAAGCCCATTTCTGGTGTCCCCACCGTGATATTGCTGGAATATTGGTGGAAGTGGCATAATGTCCTGTAGAGGTGTGACGATACATAAATTTCACGATACAATACATATCGCAATATCTTGGAACGATACTATTCGATTCGATGCATATCACGATGTGCTATCTTTAGACATAGTTATTTTTTTTAAGAAAGTATATTTTTATAGCAAATAACAGTGTAAATTTTGACGTAACTGTCAATTCCTCGTGTAAATTAACAATTTTAGGTCAACGATACATATTACAATATGAAAAAAGTATTGATATATTTATCGTCAGATAAAGTATCTCGATTATCGATATTAGATATATCATCACAGCTCTAATACCAAACTCACTCTGTTCTGATGATCAAGAGAACTTTGAGAGGAAGCAATCCGGCCTCCTGGCCCTAATGCTCCTCCGGTGCACACCATTAGTTGTTTTGTTTTTGTTTGAACAGCTGACAGAGTGAACCCGGTTTAACACAATACAGAATGTGTGTCCAGTACAGACTAATGTATAAAATTGATGCAGAAACAAATATATTACATCCCAAGAAAACACTCAGGAATACCAGTTAACTTATTGTAGTGATTTTATAAGAATTATTAAATCCTACACTACATTACTCTACACTGTTTCATTACTTTACATTTCACAAATATTTTCTGTAAAAATCTAAAAATTAATTATTGTGGGTTCCCAGGACCCTTAGTTTTGTAGGTCAAGGTAAAACCTATAAGGGGGCGCTGGGGTAGCTTAGTGGTTAAAGTGTTCGTTCGTCTTGCTGAAGACCCGGGTTCAATTCCCCACATGGGTACAATGTGTGAAGCCCATTTCTGGTGTCCTCCATTGTGATATTACTGGAATATTGCTAAAAGCGGCGTAAAACTAAACTCACTAAAACCTACAAGGACTGAAAAATGTTGACTTGTCAGGTGTCAGGTGAAATATGTGTCACACCCCCAACATGCCTCCTGGACCTACCAGCACACCTGTACAAGTGTATCATGTATATTCTGATATGCCTTGTCATAGCAACAATTCTACAAGACATGCTCTTTCCATAAAGTACAACCTGACAACATGAACAATAAGCATGACTGGGCTATGAGCAGGATCTAATTGTGAAGTCATGGAGAGTAACTTTACAGTCAGCCACAGTCGGACAGCTAAATCCATCTTAAAGGGACAGTGTCAAAAGTAATGTCAAGAAAATGTAACTTGTCTTTCATCGTTAAAATATTTAGCATATCATGCTAATGTGATTATATTTATAATGGACCGGTGCACTTCTGATTGGACACAGCCTAAGTATGTCATGTTTTCATGGCTTAGGTATGTATATATAGGTCTATGTTTATTTGTTCATTCTCTACTGGCTGCCTTGGTAACTGACCTAGTTTTTAGGATATGAGATATGGAGCTTCACATCCTTGGTAGAACTAGGGTTGATGGCATACCTGGTTGCCTGAGAGGTGTGACAAAGTGAATGCGGATCTGTCGGCAGTGTGTTGTCTCGCCTCCTTGTCAGAAACAAGTGGGAAATATATCTCATGTTCACATTAATGCGGCCTTAAAACGAGATAGCCTTGGTTGCCATAGTAACCATGTCATGTCAGATGGTTAGTTTGCTTTTCATGGCTTATGTGTTCCTGACCAAATCTTTGGACATATTTAGCTTATTTTAACAACGGGAAAACAAGAAAAATGGTAATAACTACTAAGGTGTATGTGATCATCCATAAAGTGTGAGTGAGTACTGTTTTATGCCACTTGTAGCTGGGGCGGATACAGCTTTTTTAGAAAAGGGGGGTGCACACTATTGAGAAAAGGAGGGGTGCACACTTCATTTTCACCCGAGTTTAAATGGTAATTTAACAAACTTTCAGCACAAAAGGGGATCCGTCTATGTGTAGCATTATTCCAACAAAGTCATGTCAGGGACTCCAGAAATGGGCTTCACACACTGTACATGTGGGAATCAAACCCATGTTGTCTGTGTAACAAATGATCACTTAACCACTAGACTACCCAACTCCCCATTAGACATGATAGAACTGTGGAGTGTAGGTGCAGTGGGTGTCCATGCTGGCTATTGTTGACAGTTGCTAGTTTCTTTGGCTTGTAATAGGTGTCTCCTTTCCAAGGGGGCCGTGGGGTAGCCGAATGGTTATGGCA